CCTAATGAAAAAGAAAACCTCTCCTCTCACCCACACACTGTATACTGTAGCTTTGCATGTTTTAGGCCTGAGCGAATATTTTTAGAAAGTAAATTCAATTCAATTCAGTTTATTCACATAGCGCCAATTCACAAACCTGTCATTTCATGGGATTTTTAAAGAGACAATTCAACCAGACAATATGGACAGATTGGTTCAGATTTTTCCATCTAAAGAAAACCAGCTGATTGCATCAACTTATTGTTTCAACAGCAGACCCTCACACCAAGCATGCATGAGCGACAGTGGAGAGGAAAAACTCCTTTTAACAGGAAACCTCCAGCAGAACCAGACTCAGTGTGAGCGGCCATCAGCAACTAGGGTTCAAGGAAACAGGAAAGAAGCCGACATAAGATAAGATAAACTTAATTGTCCTAAAGGAAATTTGATTTGTTAATTATAAGACAATAAATAAATACAAAAAGAAACATGTTACATTACATGCACAATAAAAATTTGAAAGAGAAAACAAAATGTATAAAAACCTTTCTTTAAAAATCTGTTATGTGAGATCATGAATACAAAAGCTTGTCAGTATAGTTTACATTTTGAATACCATTGCCTATTCCACAATTTACTGCTCCATAATGTTTATTGCCTTAATGGAAAGCGGAACAAATGAGTTCTTATAGCGGTTCAATCTACAGGCAGGGACTCTAAGACTTCAACCTGAAGATACAAAGATACAAAAGGTAAATTAAAGGTAAACAGAATGTTATAGGAAATTGATATTTCAGACCAGAAAACCTCACCCACCCACTTTTCCCTTAACATTTGGAAGTAAACAATTCCTTAGATGTAATTGTTGAATCCTAAACATGGTAAATGGAAAATATTCACTTATGATCTACATGTCTATATATATATATATATATATATATATATATATATATATATATATATATATATATATATATATATATATATAGAGAGAGAGAGAGAGAGAGAGAGAGAGTGAGAGAGAGAGAGATCATAAGTGAAAAATCTACATACCCAGAATTACCACCAGATACACACAACATAATATATCATATTGTTTTGTCACTTCAGCTTTCTGTCTGCCTTTTTATCCATGTGCGTTCAGTCCTTGTCCATTCATGTGCGTTCCTTGATCTTTAAACATCTACTAACTGATAGCTTTCAGACATTTCCTTTCAAAGCTCACACACCGGAGCCTCCCTTTTCCTGATGTCTCTTGAATTGTCTGGCACCCACAATGTTTCTTACATGTGATCGCACTGTTCTCCATATGCCTTTTTCTTCTTTTTTCTTTGTAGTTTTCTCACCATCCCCTATTTTCTGGTGTCAGCTCCAAGTATTATGATCTCTGAACTATGTGTTATTTTTGGCATTATACATTTTCAAAAAGGACTTTCAAAGAATACAGCTTGTCACTCATCTTTGTTTCTCACTAAAGTTATTATGCAGTTTTGCACTGTTGACTGTATCATTCATCTGTCCTGCTAGTTTCTGTTTTGTGGTATCTACCAGAGCCTGTTATCTATTAATGCCCCTTCTGCTTCCCTGATGCGCTCCATTCATCTCTACTTCAAAACTTTTCCTCATTTTCCTGTATCCATTTGAATCTTCATCACTCTTGAGTATCGGGGGCCATCATCTCTGCATTCCTCAAGAGGATGGATGGTTTCCTCTAAAGATTACTCTGATCACAGCCTAGCTTTCATTTCAGACTCCACTCACATTTCATAATGTTCCATGCGAAAGCCAAACCCGAGCATCTTTGCTGTCTAACCACATCAAAGTCAAATTCCTGAGCAACAGAAACCACTTTGATTAACCTTTGAGGCTATGGTGATTGAAGTAATTGTTTAAAGCTAATGAGTAGCGCTTCTTGTTTTAGGTGCTTCTTTAAACTCTTTAAAAGAATTATGTCACATCCCACTGATTTTCAAGAAAAATGTTTAGTGCAACAAATTGCAACCAAATGATGAACACATCCACACAGAAGGCGGTAATCAGTCTTTTGTGACCAAGATACCAATAAATAAGACAAAATGTAAAATAAAAATGTATATTGTTGCTTGATGATATAATTTAACCACACCAAAGTGGCCCAAATGATAATTAAGGCTATCTGATCCACAGACTCTACCAAAAATTACATGTAAACATAATACTTTTTTTTTTTTATTTGCATTTGTGGAATAAAGTGAAATTAGAAATATTTTTTTTCCGCAGAGAAGTGGTGTTATAATATTATAAGCATCTGCCTTTACCTCTATAAAACCAGGTGATTAAGTAGTCATCAGCCCTGTCTTACTTTGGTGTGATGGCACAATGTCAAAACAGACAGTAATAAGCAATGACTTGGTCGAGTTGTGAAACTCTCTCAATCCATGCAAATTCCCAAAACTTTTCAACTCTACCATTCCTTTAAAGAAAAGATAAAACTCAGGTGTACAATGTCCAGGACCGTTCATTGTCTTAAAGCATTGAAGTAGGCAAATCCCTGCAAAAAAGTAGATGCAATTCATACAATTCTTAAAAAAAACTTAAGAGCATCTTAGACTTTACTGCAGTAAAAAAGGATACAGTCAGAAGTAAGATGCTTATATCTAAAAATATATGGAAAAACTTGCATCTTTGCATCTGAATGAACCAAAAGACATCTGAATTAATTTACAGAGAAAGCCATTGCACAAATGTTTCGATCATAAAGCAGAGTACCAGCATCTTACAGTAAATGTCAAACAGGGTGATGATATGAAACCAAACAATCAAGGTTTAAACATCATATTTGGAAAAGGAACACGACAAGAAATCTTAAGCAAAGTGGTGGAAACATGGTGGAAAAGGAAGATAAACAGGGTGTGAAAATGGCCCAAAGTCTAGGATTCAACTCAACTTAAAAACACTACTGTGTTTTTAAGAGAGGAAAGCACAAACAAATACATTGCTTAGCTCAAAATGACTGCTTTATACTATAGCTGCAAAAGGTATTTCTGCAACCTCCTCATGATGACATTCTTGGACCTTCCTATTACATCACTGGAAGTAAAGAAAACTTTATTTTCACTCTCTACATTTACTTTATCATAAAAAAAGAAGAGTTTAAACCTTTTTTTGGAATAAAGCCCTGCTGTCCCTGTGCTTTGGCACAAAATAAATGGCTCTCGGGTTCAGTGTTAAAATATGCAAAATTACCTTCAGGAAGCCATGCTCACCACAGCTGAAACTGAGAACCTCAATCACAACACATTCATCAAAGCATACCCCAGACACACTAGGGAGTTTGACTGTCATCAAACACATTTATGCAATTTCCAAACTATGTGTCCATGCCCAATACAAATATTGACTTAGGGTCTCCCTCCTATGGTTAGTTCATATATTGATTGATTACTAGCAGAGTAAGAAACAAAAGTGGGACAGTTTGTCAGATTTTATTTTCACTTTGATCCACAAAGAATTGAATCACTATTACCCCCTTACTCATTACAGCAGCTGAATGAGTGGGAAATGTGGTGTGAAAAAGAAAATTAGTGTGGATGTTAGAGGGAAACCAACAGTCACATTAAAGTACCTTTAGCTCGACCAGTGTCTTCAAAACCTAAATTAATCTTTGTCACACAAACATTTTCAGTTACACAGCTATAGCTTTACCTTCATGAAAACCTATTAACACATCTCAGAAACATTTACACCTAGGGCTCTTCATAAAAATGAAAGAAAACAATGCTTATTGGTGTTAAATACTCCCATTTATAGACATCACTCTACATTCATTTGGACATCACTTCCAAATCTAAACAAAGTTATTGCTGTGACAAACAACCATAGCATAGAATACCCCTCAAAACAAGTATGCCAGCTTTGTGGAAATTATGTGCAATTGTTACATAAATTATTTATTTTCTTAATCTGTAACCTTAGCCCTCACAACAACACCTCAGCAAACCACTGACATCAACATAATAACCCTATGAGGTTTGGCCGTGGTGGTAAAAACTTTCATCTCTGCAAATCTGTAGTGGACACATATGTTTTTGCTATAAGGAACCCTTGGGGAAGTAAACACTCAAAAATTACATAAATAGAGTAACATACACCATAGATGCTGAGAAATACTGCCTTTGTTTCTAGGAACTGAACCAATAGCCAAAATTTTGATATTTTTTGCTATTCCCTCCTTTAGATTAACTTTTTACTCTGCAAATATTTTTTTCTTTCAAAAAAATGCTTTCTTTGATTTATTTTAAGCCTGATTTCTGAACATGCATAGATATATGGTCTCGAGTAATAATCAATGTCTTAGAAATGTATTTATATCCTTTGATTTCATGCAATAGAGCAACATAGAGCAGGACATACTTGAAGTTTAAAGAAAAAAGACACTCTTTTGATGGCAAATGACAAATACAAAGCAGAAGCTTGTACATGTGCAGCACTCCTTAATCAATACTTGAAGAAATGCTAGACTAGATTGAGTGTGCCTTGAAAACACAGTCTTCAAATCTTTCACAATATCATTTAGATTCAGCTCTGGACATTGAACTTCCAACAATGATATATGATCTAATCAGAATGGTTTTATTAAAGCTCTGGCTGTACCCGTATGATTATTACTAGAAAGTGAAGCTCTGCCCAAATCTATAGTCTTCAGGTTTGTCTTCAGCAGTTGTTTTTAGCTGTACCCATCTGTCCATTAACCATCACCAATATCTACCTTTCTGCAGGATTAGAATCCCCACAACATACTGCTACCACTGCCACATTTCAAAATGTTATAATGCGTTTAGTTGAATTCTGGTCTCATCTGACTAGAAAACCGTCTTGTACATGTTTTCTATTTACCCCACACAGCTTTTGGTAAATTGGCAAATAGGATTTTCAGTTTGGCTTGACCATTAGCTTTCTTCTTGCTACTCATGTAAAAAGGACAGATCTTTGGTGACAGACAGTTTTCTTGTAACATATGTATACAAATGGACACTACTTACATGCTGCCATCTCTCTTGAATGAGCGGCCGGTATCGCAGAAAGTACTTAAGAGGAAATGCGTCAATATCGGGCCATGTGGCAGGGCTTTGCCAGGACACCTCCAGCCTTCGAGGTTTAAAACGGATTGGTGTTGCCGTCACATGCTCTGGGGGGTCTGGTTTTACTGTAAAGTAAAGATAACCAACAGTCAATTAAAAGTGACAGAATAGTCAATCAATAATTAGTCTAGGCAATAAAAATAGTCTCTTGTGCCTAAATATCAACATATTCATGGCATAACATAATATTTACCACACCTCTTATAAGGTTAAAGTGACACGATTTTGAAACAGAAAATGCCAAAAGAAAGGGTATGTGCACAGTGGAATGGTGCCAAGGCTGTACACATGTATTTATGTCAAACTATTGGAAAGAAGTTTTATTATAGCCTCACTTCTAATACAAACATGCGGAGAGGACAAAAAAGTAGATGTTGCTAGGTCAAAGATAAAAGGCCTTCAGGTCTGATAAGAGGGTACCATATGGACAAAATATTTTTGAATACCTGCCCACAGAGAAAGCCATACTGATAGAGAGATTGTGACAATTTAATTTTTAGCTTTTCAGTATCAAATGACCCAGTCTTTGTTAGATCACCCCCACAAGGGAGCACACAGGCCTGCTTCTTTAGCTACATGAAACCCTTTGCTCCGTAAGACGCACACACACACGCACACATACACATTGCAATGAGAAACAATACCCACAATTATAAACTGAGACTCTGATAAAATATAAAGGCACAAAAAGCAATTTGGGTTATATGTGTGTGTGTGTGTGTGTTTGTATGTAAGTCAGTGTTTTTTGTTACCCTGTGGTGAGAATTTTGCTTGAATATGCTACATTTTGAGCACTTGTAGGGACATGTGGGGAACAGCGGTTGGTCCCCAAGAGGAACAGTTCTCTTTTTGGGTCGGACTTAGGTTTAGGACTAAGGTGTGAATTTAGTTTAGGTTAAATCTAGAGTTAAGTGTGTGTTGGTGATGTTTGGGGTAAGGGTAAGGGTCTTGGTTAGGCCATAGAAGTGAGTAGGAAATGGTCAGAAGTCAATGGGAAGTCCCCACAAGGATCGTCTGACACTACGTGTGTGTCTGTGAGTCTTTTTGTGTGTGTATACAAACAAAAAATATTACCCCACCCTTACTTTTATTTATCATTTCTTTTTCCAAATAACACAATTAACAAACCCCAGAAAAGAAAGGGTGGTCAATAATGTATTTTTAACTTCACATTTCTAACAACATAAAAGCCTTTGTACCCACACCCTCAAATATACAGGTGGCAGGCAGAGCGCAGCAGAGAAAAAAAAATCCTTTTTCCTGTTATTTCTTGATCATGTATTTAGGAAAACTTAATTTGGGCAAAGAGGACGACCTACTCTGATAGACTTTGAATATTGACTGTAGTTGATCTATGTAACCATAAAGTTTAGAAGAAATATGCTTTATAATGGTTTCTACTTTTTGTCACCTGCACAAGTCTTTGGCTTTGGTCTATTAATTACCTGAATGGTGTAACTTCAGCAGGACATTTGCGTTTTGGGTAGGCCACAAGATTGCCAGATGAAAACTCAGACTGCCATTCTGTCCTTAACCTATACTTAATTCCAGATTGCGAGATGGATAAAAGGGCGGGACTATAATGGAATCTTTCCTTAAATTCTGTCTTTTGCTTGGCTAACCTTTGTAACACTTTGTCTCTAGGTTTAATCCAAATAAAGTATGAATACAGACTGATGTAATAGCAACATTTTAACATAGGTTTAATCTCACATACGTGTAACTTTAGACTAAACTGAGTTGTTAGAGTCAATAAACATCTTTATGTGGGGAAGTTAACTCAACTTAAAGTATTGAAGTACTGACTTCTGAAAAGACTTAAGTATTCAAAAGTACATGCATTTAAGTACTTAAGTGTTCCAAAATACAAACAAGATTTTCTAATATCAGTACATTTCTGTCTAATTTTCTGAATAATTTTAAAAAACCTTGGAACTTCCAGAAACCATTGGATGTATTAATGAATAGAACCACCTGCTACAAATTCTACACCACCTGTAAAGAACGTCAGCAAAAAAAGGCCACAGATAATAAGGAAGGCTATTTTGATTATTATTTCTTATTTAAAAACAAACCAGAGAAAATACAGGGTGTCTTGATTCTCCTCACACTTTCACTATGGAATAGAGGTTTAAGGTTGCATCTATTGCCACAAAGAGACTATGACTCATCCTACTAAACAACTTAGCCTCATGGCAACAGCTAACGCCTTAAGAAAAAACTACAAATAATATCTGCCCTGACTTTTTCACATTTATGGAATGTCATGTAGATCTTTAAAACAGTGGTGTCCGAATTCATTCCTAAGGGCTGCTATTTTACACATTAAAATTGCATTTAAAAAAAGAAAAAACAGTAGCAGTGGATTACAAAGCTAAGCTGAGCCAAAAAGAACAACAAGCAGCTTCCTCGACATGTAGTGGAGAAGAAAATACAATATCTGACTTTGAAGTGTACTAGAGTGAAAGTTACAAGTACCCCTCCAAAAAAATACTCGATCAAAGTAAAGATACTCAAAGAAGTACTTAAGTACAGTAATCAAGAATATTTACTTTGTTACTGTCCAACACTGGTGCAGGATAACAAACTCACAAGTGAAAAAAAAGGTGAGACTGGCTGTGCTCACTTGAAAGAAACAACACAGAGACAAATGAAGCAGAATATGTGTCCTTAACCGTTTACACAATCTGAATGTTGTGTAATCACTTTAAAATTTTGCACTTACTGTTTAAGCATTAGAGAAATCTTAACATAACAGGTTTAAATTTGAGCTCTACACCTTACAATCTCCATTTCTGTTTAGGGGGAGCTCTGCCGTTCGCATTCATGCTGGAACTTGGTGTTCTAAATGTAATGTCATCACTTCTCAGCCTCTCTCGGCTATTTTCCTTTTGGCTGCCATGTGATCAGTTATTTACTTTCAGGCTTCATTAGATATTTTAGTCCTGAAAATAATATAACTAATAGTATAATGAAAAGAACAAAGGTGCCTGAGCACAACTGAAAAACAAAATAAGTAAAAATAATATGACCAAATGGTCTTCATAGCTTCTGTTGGTATATTTTATGAAGTTAAGGAGAATAAAAAAGGGGGTTACTTTTACATGCATAACCAATGTGATGTAAGGAGACGCTAAAATACTTTAAAAACTGACTCTGATTAATCTCTATTAATTAAAAAGAGATTTACGTGTCCGAAAAAATTTTTTTTAACGTTTTTCTTATTTGTTTTTTTGTTATCCATCTAATTCCTAAAAGGATATAAAATAATAGCAATACTTTATTATTAGGTGATTAAAATAAATAATATTATTTGTGGTTGTTGAAAAGTTGTTCCTTTATAGAAACTACCTCTATTACAATAGCTGGAAGGAAACACACAAAAATAAGCAAAGAAGAAAAGACATGGGAGATTTAATCTATATGATTTAAAAAACAAACCCTCTTTATTATTCACATTTTAAAGGATGACAGAAATAAGTATTTTGCTAAATTGAAAGCATATTTTTCTTTGTGCATATGTGGCTTTGACTTTAATTGATAGTACAATTTTATTCCATTTTTGTTTTGTCTTTTATGGAGATGCCTGAAATATGTGCTGTGATACAAAATCCCACTATATGGGACATGCATTATCTCACAATAGAAGAAAAGAAAAATAACTCCATATACATTTCAGCTTTTCAAGCATTTTAAGAACATTATTCATCAGCTTTTTTCCTAAGTTTTTTATCATTATGGGAGCCTACATTTTTGAAAAAGGCTTTACAAAATCTGGACAAAGATAATGGCTTCTCCTCGGGTACTTTGACAAACAAAACAGAAGAAGAAAAGCAGTGAGCTTTGGTTTCCAATGATACATTTCAAGCAACCATTCCAAAAAATTGAATAAAAAAAGTACAGTATGCTGCTGAATACTGAAAACAGTCCTTGAAATGCAGCACATCCATTTATTGACAGATACATGTAGCAAAAATACTTTGCAAAGTGCCAAATTTTCATCCACACGGTGAACATTGATTCAAATCAAGCACCTCATAATAGAGTTATTATTAAAACAAATTAAAGAATATCCAGCTATTTTAGAGAACAAAAACACCTGTTACAGATAATAGGGTAAATTAATTATTTTAAAAAGAGCCATGCAGTTTCAGTGAGAGGTTTACAGAGAATACAAATGTTAGCTTTTCTTCATCTTTTAAGCAATTTGCTGTGTAAGTTTTAATTTGTTGGATGTTTTCTCTAATATTATAAAAGATCAAGGATAAAAATGCAAGTTGACTATTTGCTGTCATAAACTGCACCTTGGAGGCAAAAGCCTCTGGAAGATCAGAATTTAGAATGTTGTTATAGAAAAGTGTGTTGAAAAGTGTGGGATATATATATATATATATATATATATATATATATATATATATATATATATATATATATATATATATATATATATTTTTTTTTATATTGATAATAATTGATCTTTATTGATCTCACATTGAAGAAATTTACCTCTGCATTTAACCCATCCCCTTGGGGAGCAGTGGGCTGCCATCGTGGGGCAGAGTCTTGCTTACAGACCCAGATAACCTTTTTCTGCTATAACCCTAATCTACCTTGAAAGGGTTATCTGTGTTTCCAGTTTTCTGTGTGGTTAATGATCACTAAGGAGTCCCAAAAAGGTAGAAATGGCTTTCTTTTTTCCCCCCAGGAAAAAAAAATAAATTCCAATGGCCATATATCAGTTTTTTGGGGGTTTCTTTAGAAGGTATGATTTTGGGCTTTATTTATTTATTTATTTATTTTAGATCTTTTAGCTTACATTATGTTTTTAAGGCAGTTTCACTGATTTTTTTTTAACAGGCTAAGGAGAAGTAGTAAGCTTCAAAGAAGTCAGTTAATTTATTTAAATAATATTTTCACATTGGTCCAGTCTCGTTTATGATTAATTTCTCCTAAAACATAAAGTGTCATTTCAGTGTGACAAAATAACAAACAGATAAAGAAAATCGAAGGGGAAAAATACCTTTTTATGATACACTAAAGCTTTCTCAGCAACACCAATAAGGTCCTATTAATCAAGATCTTCAAATAAATTCAGATCTGTATTCCAATTAATACCACAAAACCAACACATACAGGGTTTAAAGGCTATTCAATCCTAAGCCTACACTTAAATATGGTTATATAATTAGTCTGGGGCTTTCTGAAGAATTGCGTTGTGACTGAATCATCACTGTGTACATGCATGGCCACACACATCTCCTCATCTCCTAATTTTCTGCACCTTTGGTTGGATAAACAGAGACACATTAGAAACATTTTCCTCCCACTCAGAAGAACACCAAGAAGCATAAAATTGTTTTATTTATTTATGAGCTGCCTCGTTGTCCTTGAAAATGATAGCTAGAATTAGAATTATAATAACAAAGAATGACTCCTAACGAAGCAAGAACTAGGAACAGATGAAGTATATATAGATAGCCTTTAAGTTAACTGCAGAGGAAGAATGTCTTTTCAATTAATAATTGTTTTCATTTTTTTGATTGATTCATTGTTAATAATTGAAAAACTTCTGTCACACTATTCTGTATCTTTCTTTTGAATGCTGTGCTTAGATTTACTTCAATATGTAAATAACATTTCACCTGTACCTTTTTATGTATTTGCTGCTTTTACAAAATTTGCTAATATAATGTTTCTGAAATGACAAAAAAGTATGTACATCTGTCAATCTGGTCTAATTTCTACAGATCATAATTAACTGCTCTAAAAGGGTTGCAGTAATGGCCCAAAATAAAGATAATTCTCATCCTTGGCTATGCAGACACTGTCAGTGCCCATGCAGCTTTGGTTACCTTAGAATGCTGACTGCGAAGAAAGGCTGGAGAGCAGTGCAATTTCATAACTTCCTAAATATCATTCTCAACTTTTGAGGGCACTTGTAGAATTTTTTTTTACAACACTGCACTTTCAGCCCATGATAGAGTGACAAGTACTCTGTTTGGAAAAAAATAAAAAAGTAACAGTGTCATCAAAAATCAACTTCCATCTAAATGACCCTAGGTTAGACATCCATTTTAACAAATGCACCATATATTTAAATACATATTTCATGAAAATGGTATTACAATTTCCATCCATCCATCCATCCATCCATCCATCCATCCATCCATCCATCCATCCATCCATCCATCCATCCATCCATCCATCCATCCATCCATCCATCCATCCATCCATCCATCCATCCATCCATCTTCTTTCACGCTTTATCCTAGCTGGGCTCGAGAGGGATGCTGGTTCCTATCTCCAGCTGTAAGGGGTGAGAGTCTGTACTAAAGAATAATTATTGTTTATGGTTACTTAAAAAATGCTGTTTGCCTTTGATGCAATCAACTGGTTTTCCTAAGATAGAAAACTTTGAATCAATTTGACTATGAGTTGAATGTTGAATTGTTAAGTGCCTTGAGATGACATGTGTTGTCAATTGGCGCTACATAAATAAAATTAGTTGAATTGAAATAGAGTTTTATTGATAGACTCACATAATTATCTTTCAAACTTTTCTATTGGGTTTTTACGGCACTTGTAGTTCGTTTTTCTGATGGTAGGCTGACAGGAAAGGAAATGTAACTACTTAATTTTTTCGACCTAATAAAAGTCTGGGCCTGAATTCACAAAAAATCCTAAGTATATGCTGGTGACATGTTTTACATATTTTTGTCAGATTTTTACCTATGCAAGTTTAAAGTATTCAAAAATATGCTTATGTGAGCTCCACAAGGGAACAATTCTGGTGAGGACAACTTTCATTGTGTCTTAGAATTTTAAACATGAAGTTAAGATAAACAATATCCTCCCCATACGAGGAAAATCAGCAGCCAGATAAATTTAAGGTGCAACACTAGAGACGAAATTTTAAGGAATGAATGAATAAATAAATAAATAAATAAATAAATAAATAAATAAATAAAAGTACTAAATAAGAGTACAGTTCAATAAAAAATTGATAAATGTATATTTCAAGTAGCTCATTTTTTTTTTTAATGAAAAGCAACTGGACCATTGTGTTGACGTCTGCACAATGAGCTCAACGGTATCAAGTAAATTTGCGGGTTGACACGTCGAATTTTCCCACTTTAAGCCTATCAGAGATTTTTTTTATTTTAACCCCGGTACCTTGCCGAGTCATTTGACATGGGCTTACGTGGGTCAGTGAGAAGTTCCAACTACCACTAAAAGTAGATTTTTTTCGGCGAGGGGTAATGGGGTATAAGACATGAATTTATGTTAACTCTTTACCCAAAGTCACTCTTAGCAACATTTTGAATAACTTTTAAAGCTAGGACTTCTTGGAAGGATTTTCAGGCTAAGTTGGGAACTCACTGTAAGGGCTTTGAGACTCTTTGTAAATATGGGCCCTGTCATTTGAACAGTGGGAACTGTATCTTTTTTAGGGAAGTAAAAGAGTTAAACAATAATCTACTAAATCTTCCAGCAAAAACATTTGAAAAGGGATGATTAAAAAAAATGAAGCAAACTTCCTGTCTTCATATGATAAGGTATTTGATTTGGCTCATTATGAAAGACAAAAAAAAACGAAGGAGAGAAGTAAAGGAGAGGAGAAAGGAAAATTAATGTAAAGTTACAAAAAGTGCAAACAAGACAGACAGTGAAAGCAGATGGAATGAAAAGGAGCAGTGAGGCATTTTGATATCTCCAAAAGGGATATTTCCTCTGCCAAGGCGTTAATCCGGCTACCATTAGCATTTTCATGAGTCCTGTGTCCAGGGGTTGGCAGAGCATGTCACTCCCTCATTTAATTATTTCTATACACACTAACACACAAATACAACACATTCTTCCTGTTTCCAAACACCAAACATTTTAAACCAACACACTTCCTAGATTCTCTCAGGGCCCTGCTGCTGTCTTTGTGTGTTTATGTGACATGTACGCCAATGCCACACTGGAAGCAGTGAAACGGGGCTGAGGACTGCCCCCAGCATTCCCCTTATCTATCAAAGTTCTCCCCCATCCCTCCCATAAAACGAATTTCTCCTCTTCACTGCTTTTTCTGTCGGAGTTGCTGATGAATTCTATTATTGTGTTATTTTGAAGTGTTCTGAACAAATTGTTCCCCATTAAACGAGCACCTTTTTAAAGGCTTGAAAAATAATCCCTGAAAAGAACCAAAGAAAGAACTAAAGTTTCAAAAGTACAAAAAATACAAATAAGCAGACAAGTCATTGGTGGTTCTTTTAAAATATGTCAAGCAAAGGCAACGCGAAGGGTCGATAATTCTCTTTTTTTATCGGATGTTGACAGTAATCATAAGGGAGCACATTAGGGGACTAGCTCCTCAGCTGGAAAAAAAAAATATCATGCATTCTCCTGAAGTTATGTGACATTTATTTGCCGACAGAATTTTCAATTCCCTTTGACTTTCTGGCGCCAACAATTGCTGTATGAGTAACAAAGCTCCAAAGGGAACTAGAAGTGTCAGAAAATCAGTTAAGTGTGGTCAAACGACTGCATTATTATTTCTTGAGTGTTGGCATCCTCCAAGGGTCGCGTCAACACTATTTTTTTTTTGGCAACAGAATAAAGAAGCTGGATACATCTCTCAATTGAGCTCTTGTTAAACTTTAATAAAAGGCAAAAATGTTCTAGACTAGAGGAGCGATAAAAAAAAAAATAGAGCGTTTCCTTTAAACCCCTTAAGCATAGGACCTAAATTAAAGCATTTAATTTTAAAAGGAAGTTAATCAAAAATATAACTGACTGGCAAGCCCTGCAGGGATTAACTGGTGTTGTGATTAATTTACTGCCAAGCTAGTGCGTTTGTCACCTTTAGACACAACGGGCTAAAAGGTAGAGAAAAAAAATCTAGCAGCATGGAACCTACACAGAAAGTGAAAAACATCCATCTTACCTATGGTGGACTCTTCAAATGAAAAGAAAGAGGATTTTTTTCCTAAGGGGTTCACCGCTGTCACGTTAACTTCATATGGAGTGGTGGAGAAAACCTCTGGGAACTGAACATGACAGCGATTCTTATGGACTGGATCCTTCTGCACATCCAGTGGGCGATGCTTGTGTCTGAGGAGAAAAATGAAATAATAAGGTACAGAGATGCAAAGAAAGGAGACGCAGTTTTCAATAAAAATGTTAGTGATTGTAAAGTCTGGGTTGTTAGGATAGCCATCAAGGCATAAATTGAACTTCACTTAAGAAAGAGGGTGATTAAACTTATGTTTTTCCAGTTCCCCAAGGTCTTGCATGCAAAAAATAGAAAAGGCATAAAAAGAAAGGAAGAAAAGAAAACAGAACACTTTTTGGTGGTAAGTTGACGTTCCATTCCATGGGTGCTTGAGGCTTTAAACAAGCCCACTTCTAGCTGAAACTCTTACAGTTGCAATATGTTTAATTTGTCTTGAGAGGGACTTCATTGTGGAAATGATGTCACATCTAAGTACCTTGTGCCACTTTTACAAGTTAAAAAACAAGTGGGAACGGTATTATCTGTACAAACAAATACTAATTTACAGCTCTCTATTTCGAGACATTAAGGCAACATGTTACATTTGAATAACAAGTACAGCCAGAAACAAATAGAAACATGGTAGAACTTTCAGTTATAGGTATAAAAGATCAATCAAAATCAGCTCAAACCTATAATGGCAAGTCAAGGCTTTACAAGAAATGCAGTAATACAAACAGGATAGAAATCTGACCATTGCATCTCTGTAATTCTTACTCTAAATGAATGTTATTATTTACTGCTCTGCATATGCATCTTCAGCTTTCATGCCTACAGGCCTGAAGCCTGTAAAATCTCCCACATGTTTGAAGTAAGCAGATCTACATTCCTTAAAGATCACTGAGTCAACAATGAATCATAATGGAACACTTCATTTACTGCAGATAAAAGCCATATGGCAGCGCCTAGGATCAGAGTTACGAGTGACAGTAAAAGTCCCGTTTTGGATTACAAGCAGCCGGCTTGCAGGAATGCAGAGCTAAAAAAGCATCACCTTAATACATAAGTGTCCAGAATGCGACACTCTGGACCTTTTGTGGCCCCTAGACAGATTTTGTGTCGCCCCCGACTTCCATTCAGGCATTATACAAATTTGGCCCTATAGCACAAACAGTTGAAGCAGATGGATATGTAAATGGGCAACTTCCATAAAATTGAAAATGTAAGTTACAACACAAAGTATTTGTGCTTTAACAACCAAGATTTAAAGTTCCAATACATCTATCCAGTGACTTTTATTGAACAGCCGATTCTAGATTAGAAGAATAGAAAATCCCTTTATTGTCCCACAATGGGAAAATTGTGGCTTGTGGATTGTGCTTTAATTAACTCAATAAACTTCGCTAGAGAGATTTGAATGCTATCCTTATAACTGGAAAAAATAGTAACTTTATTCAGTTTGCAAAATATATGTTTTTATGCATCAATCAAGCAGAGTTATTTTAATTATAAAACTACTGAACAATTATTTACACATCAGTTTTCTACAAAAAAAAAATATTATTTTCCTAACTTCACAATAACATGCCTACTTTATTGATGTGTAGGTATTCTTTTATTTAATCATTCTTAATTTTTGTGTGTACCATTTTTTTTTTATAAACTCCCTTAGTGGTTGCACGCTATTTTGCTTAACTACATAGCCACGTACCCCTCCTTGAACCGCCACCTTAACGTGGTGGAGGGGTTTCAGCGCCTGAGTGATCCCAGAGGCTATGTTGTCGGGGGCTAAATGCCCCTGGTAGGGTCTCCCAAGGCAAACAGGCTCTGGGTGACAGGTCAGACGAAGAGCGGTTCAAAAACCCTTATGATGAGGACTACAGCGAGGCACGTGACGTCGCCCGGTACGGCGGAGCCGGGACCCCACCCTGGAGCCAGGCATGGGGTTGGGGTTCGTCGGCGAGCGCCTGGTGGTCGGGCTCTTCCTCGCGGGACCCGGCCGGGCCCAGCCCGAAGGAGCGACGCGAGGCCATCCCCCAGTGGGCCCACCACCTGCAGGGGGAACCATGAGGGACCGGTGCATAGAGGATTGGGCGGCAGTCAGAGGCGGAGACCTCAGCGACCTGATCCGCGGGCGCTTAGACTGGCTCTGGGGACGTGGAACGTCACCTCACTGGCGGGGAAGGAGCCCGAGCTTGTGCGGGAGGTGGAGCGATACCGGCTAGAAATAGTTGGGCTCACCTCTACGCACAGTCAGGGCTCTGGAACCCAGCTCCTTGAGAGAGGCTGGACTCTCTTTTACTCTGGAGTGACCCGCGGGGAGAGACGGAGGGCGGGGGTGGGGCTGCTTGTCTCCCCTCAGCTCAGCCGTCTCGTGTTGGAGTTCACCCCGGTAGATGAGAGGGTCGCATCCCTTCGCCTTCAGGTCGAAGGGAGGACTCTGACAGTTGTTTCGGCCTATGGGCCGAACGGCAGTACGGAGTACCAGGCCTTCTTAGCATCCTTGGGGAGGGTGTTAGAAAGCGCCCCTCCCGGGGATTCCATCATTCTGCTGGGAGACTTCAACGCCCACGTGGGAAACGACAGTGACACCTGGAGGGGCGTGGTCGGGAGCAACGGGCCCCCAGCTCTGAACCTGAGTGGTGTCTCATTATTGGACTTCTGTGCAAGTCATGGATTGTCCATAATGAACACCATGTTCAAGCATAAGGATGTCCATCGGTGCACCTGGCACCAGGACACCCTAGGCCGAAGGTCGATGATCGACTTTGTAGTCGTATCTTCTGATCATCAGCCGCATGTCTTGGACACTCGGGTGAAGAGAGGGGCGGAGCTGTCCACAGACCACCACCTGGTGGTGAGCTGGATACGCTGGAAGAGGAGGAAGCCTGAAAGACTCGGCAGGCCCAAACCTGTAGTGAGGGTCTGCTGGGAACGTCTGGTGGAACCCTCGGTCAGGGACGTGTTCAACTCCCACCTCCGGGAGCGCTTCTCTCAGGTTCCGAGGGAGGTTGGAGACATGGAGTCCGAATGGGCTGTGTTCTCTGCCTCTATTGTCGATGCGGCTGCCCGTAGCTGTGGCCGTAAGGTTTGCGGTGGACACCGATAGTAAGGGATGCTGTCAAGCTGAAGAAGGAGTCTTATCGAGCTTGGCTGGCTTGTGGGACTCCTGAAGCAGCAAGCAGGTACTGTGAGGCCAAGCGTGTCGCGGCCCGGGCGGTTGCAGAGGCAAAATCTCGGGCCTGGGAGGAGTTCGGAGAGGCCATGGAAAAAGACTATCGGTTGGCCTCAAAGCGATTCTGGCAAACCGTCCGGCGCCTCCGGAGGGGAAAGCAGTGCTTCGCTAACACTGTTTTCAGTGGGAGTGGGGAGCTGCTGACCTTGAAGGAGGATATTGTCGGGCGGTGGAAGGAATACTTTGAGGATCTCCTCAACCCGACAGACACGCCTTCCATGGGGGAAGAAGAGACGGGGTGCTTGGGGCTGGATTCGTTCATCACCCAGGCTGAAGTCATCGAGGTGGTCAAAAAACTCCACGGTGGCAAGGCTTCGGGGGTGGACGAGATCCGTCCTGAGTATCTTAAAGCTCTGGATGTTGTTGGGCTGTCATGGTTGACACGTCTATTCAGCATCGCGTGGAGGTTGGGAACAGTCCCCCTGGATTGGCAGACTGGGGTGGTGGTTCCCCTCCATAAGAAGGGGGACCGGAGGGTGTGTTCCAACTATCGGGGAATCACACTTCTCAGCCTCCCCGGAAAGGCCTATGCCAGGGTGCTGGAGAGGAGAGTCCGGCTGATTGTCGAACCTCGGCTGCAGGAGGAGCAGTGTGGTTTTCGTCCTGGCCGTGGAACAGTGGACCAGCTCTACACCCTCTGCAGGGTGCTTGAGGGTTCTTGGGAGTTTGCCCAACCAGTCCACATGTGTTTTGTGGACTTGGAGAAGGCATTCGACCGTGTCCCTCGTGCTGCCCTGTGGGGGGTGCTCCAGGAGTATGGAGTCGGGGGCCCTTTATTAGGGGCCATCCGTTCTCTGTACAATCGGAGCAGGAGTCTGGTTCGCATTGCCGGCATTAAGTCGGACCTGTTCCCGGTGCATGTTGGACTCCGACAGGGCTGCCCTCTGTCACCGGTCCTGTTCATAACTTTTATGGACAGGATTTCTAGGCGCAGCCAAGGACCGAAGGGGGTCTGGTTCGGGGACCAGCGGATCTCATCCCTGCTTTTTGCAGATGACGTAGTTCTGCTGGCTCCCTCCTGCCAAGACCTACAGCGTGCGCTGGGGCGGTTCGCAGCCGAGTGTGAAGCGGCCGGGATGAGAATCAGCTCCTCCAAGTCCGAGGCCATGGTTCTCGACCGGAAAAAGGTGGCTTGTCCCCTTCTGGTTGGAGGAGAGTCCCTGCCTCAAGTGGAGGAGTTCAAGTATCTTGGGGTCCTGTTCACGAGTGAGGGAAGAATGGAGCGGGAGATCGATAGACGGATCGGTGCGGCTGCTGCAATAATGCGGACGCTGCACCGGTCTGTCGTGGTGAAGAGAGAGCTGAGCGAAAAGGCAAAGCTCTCAATTTACCGTTCGGTCTACGTTCCTACCCTCACCTATGGTCATGAAATTTGGATCATGACCGAAAGAACGAGATCCCAGATACAAGCGGCTGAAATGAGCTTCCTCCGCAGGGTGGCTGGGCTCTCCCTTAGGGATAGGGTGAGGAGCTCGGTCATTCGGGAGAGGCTCAGGGTAGAGCCGGTTCTCCTCCACATCGAGAGGAGTCAGTTGAGGTGGCTCGGACATCTTCTTCGGATGCCCCCTGGACGCCTCCCTCGGGAGGTGTTCCAGGCACGTCCCACTGGGAGGAGGCCCAGGGGACGGCCCAGGACACGCTGGAGAGACTACGTCTCTCGGCTGGCCTGGGAGCGCCTAGGGCTTCCCTCAACAGAGCTGGAGGAGGTGTCTGCGGAGAGGGAAGTCTGGGAGTCTCTGCTTAGTCTGCTGCCCCCGCGACCCGGTTCCGGATAAAGCGGGAGACGACGAGTACGAGTACGAGTACGAGTACATAGCCACGTATTTATTTTTCTTGTTTTTGTTTACTTGGTGTTTCTTCCTTTTTTTTTTAGATAAAAATCTTCAGCATTGTTGTTTTGTTTTTTGTTTTTGTTCTGAAGCCAGAAAAGAGTTACTGTTCTACAATCTGTAATTTTATGGAAAAAAGTTTATTAGCTTTTAGGTATAAAAGGAATTTTCCTACATTCTGTAACATTACCAGAATTTGTATAGTATAAAGATTAAAACATTTTTTCTTATATTTCAGATATATTTTTGGTTCACCATAAATCAGCTTGGAGTCCTTAATCTTATAATCTGTGTTGTAATAACGGATTTTTTTCTATGAAAGGTCAATCTATGTGTATAGGAATATAAATGTATCACAATTTTATTACAAAAGCCCAATAAAAAAATGTGGAAATAACAGAAAATCAATTTGACTTACTGCACGTCGACCTCAAAGTTGGTGGGAATATAAGTTGGAAGCGTCAGGTGCCAGCTGCAGTAGAAGCCTTTAGGATAGGTGTTGGACCGACAGGTTACTTTGGGCTCTTGAGGGGGAACTACAGAGAGCAGAAACAAATATTCACTTAAAAAAGATTGTTAAACCCCACTGCCAATACATTTTTAAAGAAATACACAGTTTGATTCATGCAAGGGAAAGAATTCATCGCAGAAAAAGAGATCAAATCCAAAATACATTCATCAAATACAAAGCTGCTATGGCTAATTAAACATTACTTTATTGCATAATTTAGTCTTGGTCTATTTTTTTATTAAAATGCCATGGCTTCTCAGTTTAAATTAAGTCTTGTCTTTGGTATGTTTTATTAGACACGCTTTCTGTTTATTTAGCCAGAGAAGCTGGCACATTTCTTTGTACTATGCATTAAACTTTTATATGAAATTCATTAAATTTTGATGAGGATGGTGATGAAAGAAGGAAAAAGCTCAATCACATGCCCAATTATAGTTTATTTGTGCAATCTCAAAACCTCTTACAGTTCTATATAATTTCTATTAACCTCAAGCTCAGACATGAACTGCTTTGATAGAGCCATCTCTTGCTGAGATGTCATGAAATGTGAGCATGTTTAAAGTCATCTGTTATCTTTTTCTATTTAATTGCTACGCATCTTATATAATGCTATTTGATTGAGATAAGAACTTTATAATAATGATTTAAATTAATTTGGGCAATGACTTTTTCAAAAATATTTAAAGTTTCATTAGGTGAAACAATGATTAATGCAGCTCTTTAAGAAGTCTGTACAACAATATGTAAAGTTTGTTATTAATTTGAAAACAGTGCATCATAGAATTTTTGAGGAGATATGGAAATAAAAAAAATTGGAAGGACAGCATGGATGAGAAAAAATAAGTAATAAAAAATAAGTAAATTGAAGGAAAGGAATTTTAAAATATAGACTTTCAATATTATAGTTTTAAAAACATTTTGTTACTAAAACAAACCTTGCACTGGAAACCAAAAATCATTTAGTTTCCACTGCAAATTAGCTTTGTTTTTTAGATAAGTATACAAGTACCACATTATAATAAACAAATCCCACACTGGCACTTAAAGGACTCAAAACAAGTTACAACTAACTACTGAAGTCATAAGCGAAAGGACCATTTCTTAAAACAAGCCTTGGTAGATTTAGAGCCATCTTTGGGATTATTGTTCATTTTGGAGGTTTAATAATGTAAACTTCATAGATGTTTTTTTAATTTTATCACTGAATTTCTAGGTTCTTCAAGGCTGCTTTCCCTCTGAAAACCTGTTTTTTTTTCAAAACAGGTTGACCCGCTAACTATAGGCTTTTGGCTCTTTTCCCATTTGACCGAAAAGCCGAGTCTGACCCCTACTGGCAAGCTGTGTGGCGTCTCTCCCCCCACCACTGCATGTCTGATGACGGCATCACGCTGGGGGAGCAAGCATTGATGATGTTGACAGAGCGTCGGAAATCAGGGAAGTAAATAACGGAGAGCAACATGAACGGGAGCCAGAGCGCCGTCAGTATTCTTTATTATTTCACTCTTTTATCCATCCGAATCCCTCTCACCAGTGCTGCACAATGTTTAGGAATGTAAACAGTTGTCTCAGTTTGTCAGAAGCAGCTGACGCGGTGTGTTGACGTCCGTACATTGCATTAAATTTTGTTACGTAATTTAGTGGCGCAACCCGGCACTAGTGTTCCCACATCATGTCGATCAGAGGCAGTTTAACGTGGGTCGTGGGTCGCTTGCCGAGTCGTTTGACCCGGGTAGAAAAGCGTCAGTGAGCTGTTCCCACTGCCATCAAAAGCTGATTGTTCCCGAGTTAAAACAGGTTTTCGGCCAGAGACAGGGCTCTTTTGTTAGCATGCGAATAGCATCCGAATAAATTCACTCAACATAGTAACAGAAACCATACTAGATCTTGCTTTTTTTAACATTTAGTTAAACTTAGTCAAATACACACTTGTAGGTGTAACAACAAGTTTGCTTAATTGGAACTATGGGGTCATTTGACTGATGCTCACAATCAACTGTGTTTTAGCAGTCACCACAGCAACTAATTAGCCTGTCAATAATAGACAATAATGGATACCAGGGATGGAATCCAATCGCAGTCAATTAATCACAGAGACTAATTGGGGCCATTTCAATCAATTGGCTTTTCATTTGTGAGCTTCATTTAAAGTCACACTAAATCACACTGTCACACACAAGCATATCGCCGCAGCCAATTACTGTCAGAGCCTACCATCACACAGAGACTACTCCTCCAGGCTCTATAGAATTAGCTGTAATCAGTCAGACCATATTATTATCAATGGAAAAAGGAGAAACCTTTAACAAATGTAAAAAAAAATTCTTAACAGAAATGAGGTCAAGAAAATCAGAGGGAAAGCCAGTTGCTTAAATATGTTAAAATTCTAGGCATGCCTGTTTTTTGTTTTTTTTGCAGGTGTTTACCGCATTGAAAAAGCCGTCTATATAAATGCCTCTGGGTCTTCTAAAACAGTAAATGAATATAAATATTTTGTTTTTCTTATTAAGCAAACTAAATGTAGGATTGGAGTGTTCAATTGAACACATTTTGACTCCAAAAAGGTTGCTGCCACTCATTTGTTTAAACTGCCACGTAGAAGTTGGGCGTCACTTCTGACTTTTTTAACTATGGAACTATGGAAAACCAGTCCATCAGTCCCATTTTCAAGAACATTAATAAAATCTCATATTTAAGTATAGATGGCAATGAAGATGTTTTATGCACTAGTACTACAGGAACATGTATAAACTATTGTATTGTATACTGTAAGCTACTCATGAGAATACATTTGACAAGTAGCAGTTTAAGTCTCATATGAGTCGTTTAAAGCACAATGAAGAGATGAATTTGTTCTTTATGTTTGTAGATTTTTCTCACTTTTAACCATTAGTCAGGGAATTATGGTGCCTCTTGCTGAAGTTGTTGCATTAGCAGTGGATATCGCTAACCAGCATTGTTTCATGTAAGTCATGGCAGCAAGGTCATTTGCTACCTGGCTTTCCTGAAAGACTGAGTCTGTAAAACAGCAGTAGAAAAGACTACATAAAACCGGTGACACATCAAGTGAATAAATGAGTTCTGCAGTTCTCTTGGCAAAGTTACACTATTTTGTGCCAGCCGGATTTTCCAGAAAATCCATTAGGTACATCTGTTTAACAGTTTACATAAACGAATGTGGTAGGATGACTTGCTAAAGCAAAAAGGAGAGCATAACGATGGACAAAAAGGGTATTTAAGTGAATGGTTCATTGTTTTTTTGCCAAGTGTTCTGGTCAGAATGTTTTAAAAAGTACTGATTTACTGGGACTTTTACTAACAGACATCTTTCAGGTTTGTAGAGAATGATATGAAAAAGAGAAAATGTCCAATAGGCTGCAGTTTTGTAGGTGAAAACATACTGATGATGTCAAAGGAGAACAAGGAGTCATTGATAACAAGATGGTACTGTAACAGTAGCTAAAATCCAACCAAGAATACAATCACTGATGCTCAGCTGATAACACAAAGTTAAGGCTCTAGATGTCATAGGCCAGGTGTCTCAAGCTGGTTCCAGAAAGGGCCGTGTGGCCATTGATGAGATGAATGGAGTCTGGTGTGCTATTGCTTGGTTGGAAAGAAAACCGGCATCCAAAAAAAACGGCCCTTTCTGGAACCAGTTTGAGACCCCTGGGCTCTAACAGCAGTGGGCAATGCCAAACTTGAAAATGTATTGTCTGGTAAGGTGAATTTGATTTCATCTTCAATATTTAGAAAGCATGGTCTAAATTGGATGGATCCACCTGGCCTTGTTTCTATGGTGCCAGTGGTGTAATGTTGAAAATTTCTACAAACGGTATCATTTAAACATACTTCATCAGCCTATATGAGTAACAATACTTCCCAATCCTTGCTTACCAACCCTGTATTATCACAGTGGACACTGGCATCATGGATTTTCAAATTAAAAGTCTTTAGCAAGTAGTTGATCCTTTTGTAGGCCATAATTGCTGGATATTTTCAACACTGTTAAAACTGCTTTGTACGTAGAATCAAGAAGAATCTAAAGACCAAATGCCATTTATCAAAGCAGTAGCAAGTTTTCTAATAAAAGGATGAAAGTTATGAAAATTATAATATTCTGGGACATCTATAGCTACTTCAGCACATACAGTATGTTGTTGGCATTTATAAATGTGTTGATCCAGTGCTTGGAAAGCAAAATAAGGAAAATTTCAGTGAAATGAGAAAAAAAAACAGGCGTATTGAGAACTGAGTCATAAGTGAAATAACTGTTGGAAAAAAAAACAGACATGAAGTGAGCATATCTGGAAAGATGAAGGGAATCTTTAAAGAGGGACTGGGCAGTTCTCGAGAGATGGAACAAATGTGTTTTTAGAAGTGCTTTAGACGCAACACAAATGCAAAGACATAAAAAAAGAAGTAGCAACACACAAGTGTTGCTTTAAAATATCAAAAGCTGTCAAAACATTCAGATAAGACAGATATTACACAGAGGGGCGGAAACAACAAGGGAAAACACACCTGTATGAGAAAAACAAAAGAAGAAAGACAACATGAATATTGAAACCCATGAAACAATATTTGGAATTAAAATTACATTGAGCAGATTTGGCCCTCTTTGTGAACCGCTTTGACATATTACCTGAATCAATAGCACAGAGGACACCGCTCATGAATAAATGTTATTTGCATTAGCATACTTTAATTATCTGGTTTGAATTTCTGTATCAAATGGTATTGTGAAGATGTTTTTAGTTAGCCTCATGAAATCTCACTCTGCACGTGTGCAAATGGGCACACACACAAGTGGCTGGTCAGGTTACTTTTAAGTGGTAATAGGTTACAGACTGTGGCTCATAAATGATAATAAGGCTTAAAAAGACGGGGGAAGGTAGAGTAGGAACACATGTATGCAAATTTCTTCACATCTTTCCTAAGGTTAATAACTATGCCAATTTGCATGAGCAAAATGTCTCTGTAATTGATTTATGAATGACTTTTAGACCAAATTGAAGCCAAGAAATG